CATTTGAGAAGACACCAAAAGTGTTGAAACAAAATGCCTATTTTTGTAGTGATTTTATAACATTTTTATGTTATAATTATCGAATAAATTATATATATATATATATATATATCAGTGCAAATCAAAAATTATTCGCACTTTCGCCATAACATATCTTTAGTTTGTCACACTGTCTTATTTGAAGTTTGAGCTTCATCGATTTAGTTTTCTTGTTGCTGTGACAGTATAAACATGACCGCTCCGCTAGCAGTGTGCCTTACTTTATATGTTTTGCTACATGTAAATCAATTTGCATTTCTTCTGTATATATATATATATATATATATATATATATATATATATATATATATATATATATATATATATATATACTACGTTTGTGTGCTTATAACATTGCAAATCAGGTTATTCTTACTCAAATTAGTGGAGATGTGAATCTTCAAAAAAGCCAATAATTTTATCGGTCGACGAGGAGGTCGATAAAAAAAAAAACTGAAAACTCAAGCCATACTGTTAACCCCTTCCCGAGCGTAGACGTATTATATACATTTTTACCGAAAGTGTCTTTTTCTGATACCGACGAATAAACACGCCCTAAACATAAGTTAAAAAAAAACAGCTACAGACGTGTTTATACGTTGATGTTGTTTCTTTTTATTCCCTTCTGAGCGTGAAATGAGACCAGTTGTCAACTCACAAGTATTTTAGATCTGTTAGCCACCGTTCGGGTACTTCAAGGTGTCACAATTTAAAAACAAATAAAATTTCGTCTGAAAATGACACCTTTTTTTATCAACTCATTTGGCGAAGAGGTTAAATATTACTGTCAGATCGGGACTTTCATATGGATATCATGCATGGCCTCAAGCCCGTTCATGAAGATCGAAACTTTCAGCTGTATACAACCGTTTCCTAAGATCGATAGTGAAAAACGACTTCGTGTGATCATCGTCTGAGGTACTTGGCAAATATTATTCTTTTTTGAATATTATAGACTGGTGTTAGAGAATCAACACAAAAAAAAACTGTACCAAATAACAGAAGCCACATCACTTGAGGACTACCAACAGCAGCAACAACTAAAATAAAAATATGAAGCAAATAAAATAAAAACAACGCATGTTGGCTCAAGATAGACCTAAATCTACCTGTTGACTCAAGATAAACCTAAATCTACCTGTTGACTTAAGATAGACTTAAAATCTACCTGTTGGTTCACGATAGACTTAAATCTACCTCTTGGTTGAAGATAGACCTAAATTTACCTGTGGCCTCAAACCAGATCTATATCTACCTGTTTACTTAAGATATCTCTCTATATATTGGTGGAATCAAGATAGACCTAAATCCACCTGTTGGCTCAGGATACGTCTATATCTACCTGTTGACAGAAGATAAACCTAAATCTACCTGTTGACTTAAAATAGACTTAAATCTACCTGTTGGTTCACGATAGACTTAAATCTACCTCTTGGTTGAAGATAGACCTAAATTTACCTGTGGCCTCAAACCAGATCTATATCTACCTGTTTACTTAAGATATCTCTCTATATATCGGTTGAATCAAGATAGACCTAAATCTACCTGTTGACTCAAGATAGATCTAAATCTACCTGTTGACTCAAGATAGACCTAAATCTACCTGTTGACTCACGATAGACCTAAATCTACCTGTTGGCTCAAGATATACCTAAATGTACCTGTTGCCTCAAACCAGATCTATATCTACCTGTTGACTTAAGATCTCTCTCTATATATTGGTGGAATCAAGATAGACCTAAATCCACCTGTTGGCTCAGGATACGTCTATATCTACCTGTTGACAGAAGATAGACCTAAATCTAACTGTTCACTCAAGATAGACTTAAATCTACCTGTTGACTCAAGATAGATATATATGCCGTTGGCTCAAGACAGATCTATAACTAACACACCAAAAAATTGCTGTGGGACCATTTTAGTAACGTAAGAAAGTTTGGTTATTGTCAGTCTATCCGTCCTAGATCTTTGAAGGTTTTACGCAGACAGAGAAAAATACATTTGGGGAATAACAGTAGAGAGATTCCAATCAGCCTATTGTCCATTGAAGTTAAATTCCGAATTTCTTCAGAGGTAATGGATTCACAACTGGTTGATAATGCCTCGGAAAATTTATTCGTGAATAAATTGCTTTCTGTCCGCATAATGGCGTCTTTTCATGAAGTTCCAATTATATTTTCAAATGTGGCGAACACGCACGGCACGCCGTAATATGGACATATTTAACTTTTCTTTAGTTAAAATTTCAACGAGTGTCGGAGCAGCATTATGGTATCGTGTATCGAGACATAATTGGGGATTTCATTATTACGGTCCGCGGACTGTTTAATAGGAATCTCTAATTACGTGAGACGAAAAGAAGGAAGACCTTTTTTAAGTATTAAGCTTCACATGATATAAGTCACAGGAGACACTCAAGTGAGAATGTTATTGCTAAAATGATGATTTAGGGGTTTGTCATGAATAGAAAAGAACATAGTAGAAAGTAAAGATTATGAGGTTAGGTAGGATATATAACAACAGGCAGCCATTTTGGAAGGAAAAGGGTTATTTAAGTGGAATTTTCTTCTTACCTTTTGAAAACGGGAGAAATAAGAGTGATTCATTTCCATAGAAGTAGAATGGCGTGTCTTAGATGTAAAGGTCTGAACTTGTCAAACGAAAGTCTGGGTTGTGTGGTTAATTGATTGGTTCGTATTTTTACGACTTATCAACCTTTTGCAGGTTATTTAAAGCCAGAAAATATATTTGATTGTAAGAATTTAGAATAATGATTTACGGATACAAGTTCTACTATTTAACTCATAGATGAGGGAGAAGAGGTGAATTCAGCCGTTTCCCAAGGGTTTTTGTTCGTAAGTGAAAATAACAAACCAAACTGCAATTGGAACCTTGATCGCTGATTAACAATTCCGAGCAATTATCTATTAAACCATTAGCACATCCATGTTTACAGCGGTTACCCATCTAAGTATTGACCAGGATCGATATTGCTTTCCGTGAAAGTAGAATGGCGAGTCTTAGCTGTAAAGGACTGAACTGGTCAAACAAAAATATGGAATGTGTGGTTAATTTATTGATTTGTATTTTTATGAGTTATCAACAGTTTGCAGGTTATTTAAAGCCAGAAAATGTTTTTTTGTCTGTAAGAAATCTTGGAGATAATAATGATTTACGGATACAAGTTCTACTAAGCTAAGTTACCCATCTGCTTAACTTCGGTTATCGAACGGAAACAGTGTTTTAACGAGTGTGAATGTCGACCAATTTCCACAAAGATAAGGAAAAAAAAACTCCGAGCCGTTCTTCATTGTACCAACCGCACATTCAAGCCCACAGCACTTGATATCCACAGGCGGCCACTAGGTAGTAACCAGTATCGAGGTTGCTCAACTATGGAATAGTGTTAATCTTAACATTTGTCAAGCAGCGATAGACATGCAGTACAGCGATGGTGGGAAGAGGTGCAAAGTGGAAAATAGTTTTACCCGGCAAAAGACCGTGTATATACTTGTGAACTGCATGAAGGCGGGAAGTTGAAAAATTAAGTAAATGTGAAAGCGATAATAGATATTTTTGTTTATATAAAACACTAACAGTAGAGCCCGGCGTTGCCCGGGGATGTAACAGTAAGAGATAGATCAAGTATCGACCATCATAAAATCTGAAAAATAAAATTGACAAAGATTCTTGTTTAAGGTTGACGGACACGCTTGTCTTAATTATTTTTTTTTTGTTGTTGTTGTTTTTTGGGGGGTGGGGGGTTACGAATTGGTCAAACTCAAACTCAAACAAAAACATTGTTTTCAATCGTTATGAGTCTACCGATTGAATAGAATTTTATTATAAACAATTGTCTTGTAAATGGAATTTTTAAAGCATTCTGAATGTAAAAATAAAGAAAAAAGTGTGCAAGGCAATAAGAAACACTACCTGCCAAAAATAAAAGTGAAGTTTTGTTGAAATCGGTTGAAAAATGTAGGAAATCCGATCCCATATATAAACGAACATACACACACACAAACAACCTGGGTATAACTCGATATGAGTTGTCACCCTTTCATTCTGGCGACTTAATCGTCTTTTCAAATTGATTTGTGCAAAAACAATCGTGTTTTTCCCATTTTTGGCGCTGTCAGAACCACCGCCGGGTAATTTTACGTAGTCCTGTGAAGTTTTGTAAAATCGGTTGAAAAATGTTGGAAATACGATCCCATATATAAACGAACACACACACACACACACACACACACACACACAATCTGCGTTTTATAATAAGTAAGATTTCAGGATATTTCTCAACTGATTTACGAAAAAAAAAATTATCTGTCTATATTTCTGAGATGAGGTATTATGTAAGCTATTTACATTATTAAGTTCGACATTCCAACCACCTGAAAAAGGTTGGAGCGTACAACGGCCGAAACTTTGTAATAAATATGGCGACAAAGATGAGGACAATAGTCCGAATAATGTAAATAGTGAAAAAATAATTCATTTTATATTTTCGTAAACATATATAGAAATATGTTGTGTTACATAAAATTCGGCCGACCATTCTCAGGAATCATTCAAACTGAAATACCTTTTTCAGTTGTTCTGTTTTTGGGATATCATTCAATAGCCTTTCTGTCCTAACCAGGTTTCCTCCAAGCCTGTGCGATGCTGACCTGCTTGCATTTTGTAAAAGAAAAAAACATAAAAATAAGTTTCTGAAGATGAAGAAGCACAAATCAAGTGTCTTGCTAATCAGCAGTGCGCATGCACCAAACCTAATGATTCTTTTTTTTTTTTTTTTTTCGCGAGCATTTGTAAGAGGTCATCTGTTTGAAATCATTGTAAACCTAGACAGTGAAAAGAGAGAAAAATAATTAGTAACTTTTTTTTCATGACCAAATTTCCAGAAGTTTGATCTGGTATTAATGCATTTGAATGTATTTCGGAAAGATGGGAGTAACGACCTAAAGAGACAAAGTAGGGAAATGGAAAAGGCAAAGTTTCTGGTGATCCGGGTTTTAAACAAAGAAAGAAAGAAAGAAAGCATTAATATAAAATAATGATAAATTGGTCGATATTGGTGAAATTCTGATAGAACAATAACTAGCCATTTAGATAGATAGATAGATAGATAGATAGATAGATAGATAGATAAGGAAGAGACTGCGATAGATAGATAGATAGATAGATAGATAGATAGATAGATAGATAGATAGATATCGACGAGACACTGATAGATAGATAGATAGATAGATAGATAGATAGATAGATAGATAGATAGATAGATAGATGTCAATACTATTGTTGTAATCATTGATTGCTCAGCTATCTCAGAGCACAGCATACTTACCCTAGTTTTTGTTAAAAAATCAAGTTGCTATATGCATTTTTTTTTTGCGCGCGCGCGTGACTAGTTTTCGTTTTCCCAACCAATTGACAAGCCGTTAGGAGAGGAAATAAATTTTGCATATTTCCTAGACACCGATAGGTATCTATATTTGCATTTGATGTTTTTTTTTCTGCACCTATAAAGTTTGAATTTTGGCGAAAGTCCAGTTTCGTAACTTTGCTTGATACTAATCGAAATGCTATTTCCTGTTGAAATATGGCTTCAATCAGATACCTGACTGCATTTTCTGCTCATGTGGGTTCACAGGTATAGCAATGCACAATTACTCACACATGTTTTTCAACTTAAACATTTTATATAACTTTCGACTACTCACATGAGACACACTTATCAGATTGTATAAATGTAATATATATCCACATATATGCATTTTATTGATATATTCTGGGGATCATTGATGCAACTTTATATATATATATATATATATATATATATATATATATATATATATATGCCATACGTGATACACCCTTAGGCGACCATGTATCTTTCGATATATGACTCATGAGGCAGATTTTTTCCCAGTAAGTTGCCATTTCTTTCTGCGGTAGACCAGTTGCCAAGTCTATGGGACCCGGTCTGTCCTGCTGTTTACCCATAGCTGGGAGGGGAGAAGAAGGGGTTCCATACCTTTCCAAAGGGTATTAGCACGTAAGTGAATGTAAGGGATTCGAGTAGAACTACAAAACGGATCTCCGATTCCTCAATCCTAGCCGCTATCCATTACTCCAACGTATCGGATGTAAAAGCAAAATTGCCCATATTTTAGATTAAGATTTGAACCGCTGTTAGAAATGATTAAAGATATCGTACTGGAATTCTCCGAGGTTGTCATAGCACTATTTGACTCTACTTTGAGCAATAAGAATGTACCATTACTCTGCAAGCTTAACAGAAGTATTGTGATAAATTTGATCATAAACGAAAATGACATATTCATCATTAATTAATTATAACTAAGGATCAGAAACTCATGAAGTTCAAATATATATATATATATATATATATATATATATATAATGGATAGCCGCTTGGATTGAGGAATCGCAGAGCCGAGTTCGAATTCCAGACGAATCCATTACATTCACTTGCATGCTAATACCCTTGGGAAAGGTGTGAATCCTCTTCTTCTCCCTCCAGCTATGGGTAAATAGCAGGACAGACTGGGTTCTATAGCCTTGGATGGCAACTGTTCTAGGAGAAGGACAACTCTGAATTCAAAACCTTTGGAGGATCGTTTAGGGACCTTGTGGCACTTAGTGCACCAGGTCTCTGAATTCGGCCCTTCAAAAAGTGTGGATGGTCCTGCACGAAACCTTCACCACTATAATCAAATCTCATGTGCTGTTGTCGGGCTGTCGGTTTCCTGGGAACTGATCTGCTTGACCCTCATACGTTGAATTCGACGGGAGAGTCGACTATATATATATATATATATATATATATATATATATATATATATATATATAATTCCAGGATCATTTCCCAACTTATTCAATATAATCTTTGCCCTTTCTAACCTTCTAACTTTCTATCTTGGAGTAACAAGTAGCCTCAGAAATTCCACGTACAATTTCATTTCAAAGTCTTTTTTCACTACTCAGTGGACTGCCAGAGCTAGAACTCATCTCTTAAATGTCAAACGTCTTATAAATAGAGTTGGATGATTTCTAATTGATCTCTTTAGCTCTAAGTTGAAATGTTGATTTCTCTTGCCGTTGTGACATCCTGATCTAGTTTTCTTCTCTTCTCTTCCCTGTTTTTTAAACCTATTCACCGTTCTCTTGATGGTTCTTGAATAGACTTTGAAGATAGAAGCCTGATTATGAATGTCGGTACCTTTACTAAATTACATTTTCTTCTCAATTGGAAAGGCAGTTTAAACCTCTTCTCGTTTTAGTTACGAAAAATGCTTTCAAAATGGCTAAACGTCTTATCTGAAAAACTGAAAATAGAAACCCAATTAGTTTAGTGGGTTTTTTTTATGTGTTAGAGATTTTGCGGGATAATTATCTATACAATTTTTCTCTTACACCTGGTATATATATATATATATATATATATATATATATATATATATATATATATATATAATTTTTTTCCTATAGACAAAAACAATTTATTCACTACAAAGATCCAACTTCGTTTCAGTGCATTTAAATTGCACTTCGACTGGTGAGAAACAAAATTGTTTACCATTAGAATTCCGCATCGCTACCACACTGGACTGTAGAAGAAATGATATCCTTTGTTTGAGAGAGAAAAGGAGAAGATGATTCTTTAGGCGAGAACGGAACGAAAGATGGCGTCTACATCTACTGCGCTGACAACATAGAAGAAAATCCGTTTCGCGAAACGGATCAGACCTACGTCCGTCTTCTTTTTAAGGGATACCACCGGAGAATGCGGCGTGTTTTAGATCTCGACCAAGTCTGATTTATTTCTAATCCGAAATTTGTATTACTTCAAACGTTCTTATCGGAGATTCTTCGTATTAGAAATAGAAGCCCCATAATTCTTCTGTTTATGTCTTGGATAAGCATTCTTTTTATTAGGATCTATCAAATCCACCGACTGAGATCTTAAACACACTGTTTAATGAATTAAATTGGATTGTCTATTTCAAGTACGAATATACTCTAAAAATTTTTTGAAGTAATATATATGTGTGCGCGCACGCGTGTGCATGTGTGTGTGTGTGTGTTTACACTGGATCTTATTAGATACATGAATGCGTGTCTGTGTGAATGTATGGGTCTACACTCACGTCCATTATCTATACATAAATAGCTGTGTTCATTTCTAAATATTCACTCTCTCTATCTTTATATACATATATATGCTTGTGTGTGCGTGTTTTGTATGTATGTATGTGTGTAATTGTTTGTTTAAAATAAATATATATATATATATATATATATATATATATATATATATATATATATATATGTGTGTGTGTGTGTGTTCTTGTCCAGATACATGCTTTTATTAGTGCAATATTAAGTCTGTGCGCAAATGTCGGTGTCTGTCTGTGTGTTTGAATGCGGAAGTGAGGGTGTCTGGAAAATTTCCCCGACACAGTGGAATAATTATTACCACCCCCGACAAATATCATGGCGCCTTGCTGGGCATTTTTTGCCGCTGCCCCTAAACCAATTTAGCCTCCAATACGCCACATTCGCAATCGATTTAAATACATTAAAATAATCGATGACTCAGAAATAGCCAAACTTACCGACTCAGCAAATAATAAGCCAAGAGAAGCCACTTGAAGTTTTACTAATTCTTTTTTTTTTTTCTGCTGTTTTTGTTTCTCTTGTAAAAATCATTTCTTTCCGACTATTACGTCTAATATATGCCAGCATGGGTGAACTTTTACACACGGAATTTTCATGGAATTTGCTCTTTGAGTTTATATATAATTTAGAAAGATAAATTTTCATATCTGTATAATACCAACTCTCCCAAAAGACAGAGAGACGAGTCAAAATTTCAAAAATAGCACTTAATAAAAAAAAAAAATAGTTAAAAAGCAAATTCGCTTCGGCTTATTTGGCTCTTTATGTATCTGACAATATACCAGACAATATCTTTTTTCATTTGTCGAGAAAATAGAATATAAATCGTGGTCAACATCCAAATTTTTTAAAATATTTTAACTTTCATAAAGTTTATTTTCTTTACCCGTTAGTGACTAGTCTCTGTGCATTCATCTCATATATTAGAAGAGAGGACAAAATCATTTGATGTTTGGTTTACAAATCGGTAAATAAGCATTACTTTTCACATCTTTCATTTGGTTTCTGTTTATGTCTCTTTTTTTATCACTTGTTCTTTTCTTTTCTACTTTCTTCCATTATTTTCTTTCTTTTTCTTTTTCTTAATCTTCTTTCGTTTCATTATTTTTCTTATTTTTGTTTTTTTGTTGTTTTTTCTTTTCTTGCTTTAATCATATCTTTCTTTCCTTTTTCTGTTTTTTCTTTCCATTTCTTTTTCTTTTCATTGCTTTTTACATTATTATTTCGTGTATCTTAGAAAGAAAAACTAAAAAAGAACTTTCTTTTTTCTTTTCATTCTTGTTTTATTTTATTTTCATGTTTGTTCGTGTTTTTCTTTTCTTTCCGCTTTCACTTCATTTCTTCGTTTTTCGTTTGTTCCTTTTTTTTTTTGCTATTTTTGTTTTCTGATTTTTCTATTCTTATTTGTTATTTCTTTTCCTGTCTTCATGTTTTTCTTTTACCTTTTTTCTTTCTATTGATATTTTTTTGTTTATTCTTGTTCCTCTTTTTCACTTGATTTCTCTTTCGCATTATTTGTTCTATTTTTATTTTCTTCCTTTTTCCTATTTTTTTCCTTTTTCGTGTTTTCCGTTTTCCTTTTCTTTCTAATCTTTTTTTTATTTTATTTTTCTTGTTTTTTTTTTTTACGTTTTTTCTTTTAATTTATGTCCTCACTAGTTTTCTTCATTTTTTTACATTTTTTTCTTGGTTTTTCTTTTCGTATTTTTTCTCATTTTTCTTCTTTTTTTTTTGTTTATTTTCTTCCCTTTTCGTTTTTCGTTTTAATTTTTTTTTCCTGAAATCTGATTTTTTCTTTTCCTTTTGTGTCTTTGTAGTTTTTCATCTTTCTTTCTTTTCTTGATTCTTTTCTTCTTCTTTTTTCTCTTAATGTGTTTTTCTTGTTAGTTTCTTTTGTTCTTGCTTTTTATTTGTTTTTTTTTTTCACTTTTTCTTGTTTTAGTCTTCTTTTTTTTTTCTTCTTTATTCACTTGTTTCTTTTCGTTTTCTATTTTCCTATTACAGTGTAACCCGGATAAAAGAGACCCTGATATAAGAGAAACCCGGATATAAGAGAAATTTTCTGGTCCCAAATTAGAGCCCATACTTACCTAAACAAAATAGACC